TACTGTACTACCCAGTTTAAAACTGTTGTTTCCACAGCATGTTTTGAAAACCGGTACATTAACGTTTTCAAATATCATGGTTTGAGAGATAGAGAAGGTGTGTGTGTGAGACAGAGAGCACGTGAGTAATATGATTAAATCTGCTTTGATTCCCCTGATTTAAAGCAGCAGCAGCAGCTCCTGATTTTTTTAAAAATTCATTCCCAGCTCTAATGTTGCTGACCATCAAAGACTGTTAAAAAAATATCTGGACGTTCCTTGTTCGTCACACATCCTGTCTGAAGTTAATTTACGCCGCCTGCTGCACTCACATCTGAGCGTTAACCCCTTCACAGCGCTCATGAGGAAACTTCCAAAATAAATTCAAGTGACTCCTCATGTAGATTTTAATGCGGATGACAGCATAAATGGGTTGTGGTCACAGTTGTTCTTACACTCTTATTTATTTGTCTGCACCTATACTTGCTTCTCTGTTAGGCCTGATTTGAAGTTCTGTTTAAATTTGTATTAAGTACTTTAAATTCTTGCTCATTTACAAATCACTATAAGACACTCTGATGTGTGACTTTTTAAAAATCCCTTTCACAGATTGATTATAACACTTGTTGATCATAACAAGAAAATAACCTGCAGTGCATTCTGGATTCTGTAAAAATCAAAGGTGCCACAGGTGAGCTCGGGCACAGAGGAGACTGTGTGTGACATAGTTTCCAACCTTTCTGTACTCTGAACATCCTCTTAACGGTCTCTCTTTTTTTCTCCACTCAGCATGGTGCATTTCCTGTTTTAGCTGTGGTGGTGCATTAAGATGAGCTGAGGAGTCTGTCTCATGTTGTTGAATGGATGTGTCAGGAACATATGAAACGAAATAAATGTTTTTATCAGCTCAGCCACAACATATTTCTAGGAGATGGCAAATAGGGCTTTCAGAACCATTGTTTACAAGATGTTTTAAAAAGTGTATTTGTTACATGCTCTATGGTGACTGTATAGTATTTAAATATTGTTCTGTTTTTATTTAGAATGTATTTTAAGGAAGATAAAACCATCTACATGACTGTATTTCATACTTTGTAGAATCCCTAGCATTAGAGACCAACGTTCTTGATTGTTTGATAAATAAAAACTAAAAACTACAAGTCTAACTAATAATTTAGATGTTTTATTTGCAAAGGCCTTTATTTGCATGTATTTGCTTTGAATTTTAATGCCCATTGCTGAAGGAGATAGTGTTTTTGCCCGTCTCTGTGTTCAAATGGTAGCAGGTGATATGCATTCCTTCAAGGGATGCTCAGTCTTTTATTGTGTGTGAATATTAAACGTCTTCAAAACAACACAGATCCATTAGGGATGCATGATATTATTGACATGGTATCATTATCGGCCAATATTGGCGTTAAAGTTAAATATTGGATATCGACCATTCTGTCAAAATAACTCACCAATATAAAAGACGCTGTTTTATATATATATATATATA